CGGGTGCTCTGATGTGGGTTTTTTTCTTCTTTCCTATTAAACATCGTTCGTCCTTATCTGTCCTCCTTCATTTTCACTTCTATGGCCTTATTTTGTTGCATGTGCCGCAAAAAACTTACTAAAACAAAAAGAGATTTTATTTTTTCTACTGGCTTATTCGGGATACTGTTATTTTTTAAATGTCTTTGCAGCTCGAGCAGTTTCTTACTCTTAATACGCGAAGATATGCTATATTTTGTTTGAATTTCTCTAGAATCAACACTATAAAATGTTGTCATGTTTGCGCACCAGTAAATGGAAACGCACCAACACTGAAAGGGTTAAGGCGCTGCTTGAACTTTCGTTTGAGTTGGAAAACCGAAAGATGTTACAACTTTCCTTCATCGCCAGAAGCTCGTGGTTTGACTTGAGGTTGACCGACATTCTACTTGAATGATTCTAGGCTGGCCTAGTGCGTAACCTCTTTGGCCTTTGGCGCGTGGTCTTTACAAAAAGATCCCTATTTCCGCTTCCGTTTGGTTATGCGGGGAAGGTAAACCTGTCATCATTCTGCACGGACTGTTGCTGTCGTCGCTCAGCCGTAAAACACTACACGCAGTATGATAAAATTAGCATTTCTGGTAAACGTTTTTGGCACACCAAGACGATCGTAAAGTTGTCTTTTAAGCAAACGTTGAATAATTGTGAGGCAGCGCGGTGAAATCAGGCGCTCGTCAATGTTGACCGGAGCGCAAAACATGAACTAATACGTATATAAATACAACAATTAGATTCAACTTTGCGCTTGTCGGATCCCAGAAAACGCAGAAACCCGGGCTATATCAGCGGTAAAACCGGCTATATCAGAGGTAAAACCGGCTATATCAGTGGTGAAACCAGGCCAAAACAGTTGAACAATCCCCACGTGGGGTTTGAAAAGGTCAGTGAACTGCGAGAATGTTTACGGGCCAATGGTATGTCAAGTGGACCGTCCTTGGCTCGTCTTTTCTTGAGTAAAAAAATGGCCGTAACGAGTCCGCGAAGTGTAAAACGATATACTCGTGCATGTAATATGTGTCACGGCAGTGGAATCTGCAGGCGCTACTCAATGTTTGGGCATATGAAGTTATTGGTGGCCCATAATCTTAAGGCTTTTTCATTTGCCCTCCTTTTGAAAAAAAACACTCACCTATCTTTAACAGAAGTCGAGATATTTGCAATTGAAGGAGGTGGGGTCACCTGATGTCAGAGATAAAACTAACATGACAATGGCAGCCAAATTTTGGTAACTTCCAAAACTGTTACAATTTCGACTGTATAAACTCATTGAAAGCCCGCACTTTTTGGTCATTCGACAACTTTTGGCGAAGCTCAGTGTTGCCGCATTTGAAAACAACAGCAGCAACAATAACATCAACAACGACGACGACAATAACAAAACCAACAACAACAACAACAAAAACAACAACAAACAATAATAAGAACAACAACAACAACAAAACAACAACAAACAACAATAAGAACAACAACAACAACAAACAAACAAATAAACAAACAAACAAACAAAAACAAAACAAAAAGAAGAAGCATGCCTTCTTTATCTAGATCTATGTTATTTCACAATTCTTACATATATCGCCATCGTGTTTTCTTCATTTGAAACTTTACAACATCATGCACACAATGAAATGATTGTTCGTTTGTTGGTTTGTTTGCTTGTTTTATTTGTTTTTGCTGTTTTTTTAGTTTTTTACTTAAAGACTTCTAATGAGCTGACCACGTACATGTAGCAGGAAATCTCTGACTCAAGGCCATTTTCTGGGTAACGTGATATATATATATATATATATATATGCATGTGTATCCTAACAAGGTGGATTCTTATCTGCCAAACCCAGACACAAAGCGTAAAGAGATCACGCACAAAGTTCATGATCCCCCCTCCCCCACCCTCACCCCCCCCCCCGGCTCAGAGGTGGAAGACGTTGGCTGGGATCTTGTTGTGTCCCTCTCAGCCCAGGTTGGCACTGACAAGTGGGTGGTTGGCGGGTGCTTTGGTGAGGTTTGCTTCTTCTGTCCTAGGAAAAATGTATCGTTCTTATCTCCCCTTCTTCTTTTTTATTTTTATTACTCTCTTGTAACACCTCTAATCTTCTGGCGCTGATATGACCTTATGCAGTTGCGAGCGCCGAAAAAAACTCTACTAAAACCGAAACTGACAGGCAGGGGCGAAGCAGCCAGTCTCGTAGATGATCTAAATGCTGTGCGATGAAGATGAAAGAGTAAATTCTCTTCAAATGCATATCCATAGTACTCGATAAATATTGTTACAGTGAAACTCAGGAAAACAAAAATCACTAAATACGGGATAAAAAAAAGGCATGGTATGATGTACCCGTATCATCACTAGAAGAGGTAGGCTGAGACGAAGAGGTAAGGGTTAAGTATTGGCACGCAGTCCTTCGTGCGTGCATTTCATAGAAAAACAGAAAAATGGTTTGGCTACCTGTTATGAATGTCATCAAGGCAGCAGCCAGCCTCCAGAGAAAATAACACCAAGTACTCAGGCTGTAAAGGAAGCCGTAGGCCACGCAAAAGATGGATGGAGGAGTCGAGTCAAGGAAACACTGAGATATTATAACATCCTAATTGAAGTACCATGTCCAGAGGAAACACTGACGATCATGGCACCTCAGTGTTACAATTCCAGAACGATGCTAACATTAACTGTTTTCTATAGAAACCCGTACGCTCTTTGTGGGCATTTGGAAAATCCTATCACAAAGTTTGTTCTGTTTTTTATTTAGTTAGCCTGAGATATTATAACATCCCAACTGAAGGAGCTGCAAAGTTGGCCCACTATAGAAAACTGCATCTCCCCTTGACGCATAGATCTAACGGCCGTTTTACGGCATTTGCAATACAATTAGGTTATAATATTAAAGTGACAAAGATTAGAGGCGTTACAAGAGAGTAACAAACACAAAAAAGGATGAGAGATAGGGACGACAGATGTTTGATATTATGAAAGAAGGAGCAAACTTCACCAAAACACCCACCAATCACTACCCTCCCCCTCCCCCCACCCTCCCCCACACTTAAAACACGTATATTCTATCTATCTTTTTCCTTAATAGTGTGGACGGGACACACTGACCTGTCTATTCCACTTTCAAGTCCATCGTCCTCCTTCTCCTCCCCTCTTCTCTTCAACAGTCAAAAACCCACATATTCCGTCTGTTCTCCATAAACTAGCTCACTGGAAATGTCAAGGCCACCTGGACAGAGTGCACCGGGCTCTGCAGTGTGACGGTTAGGTTCACAGCTGTTGCACGCTGAAGACATAAGTTTGATTCTCATGTTGGGCGCTGGGTGCTGTTAGTTTAGCCCTATCCGTACGCCCTGGGGTCATTTTGTACCTCCGGGGTTGTATTCTTCACCTTTTAAAATACTTCTAGTGCGGAATATAGACAGAGAGACAGACAGAGACAGAGACAGAGAGAGAGAGAAAGGGATAGAGACACAGACACACGCACATACACACACACACACACACACACACACACACACACACACACACAAACATACGCACACTCATACACACGCGGAGAGAGAGAG